TATTTCCACTTATATTTTTCCTACAATATTTTTTTTCTTCAGATTTTTTATTGGTGCATGCATGATAATTATGCAGAATGATGGGATTCATTGTTATATATTTGTACACAATTTAACAATATAATTTGGTTACTTTGGTCCCACAGTACCTCCCCTTTTCTTCTCCTCCTTCTTCTTGATCTTCTTATATTCTACTGATCTTCCTTATATATTTTTTTTTATTTTTTTTATTGGTTGTTCAAAACATTATAAAGCTCTTGACATATCATATTTCATACATTAGATTCAAGTTGGTTATGAACTCCCAATTTGACCCCAAATACAGATTGCAGAATCACATCGGTTACACATCCACATTTTTACATAATGCCCTATTAGTAACTGTTGTATTCTGCTACCTTTCCTATCCTCTACCATCCCCCCTCCCTCCCCTCCCATCTTCTCTCTCTACCCCATCCACTGTAATTCATATCTCTCCTTGTTTATTTTCCCATTCCCCTCACAACCTCTTATATGTAATTTTGTATAACAATGAGGGTCTCCCTCCATTACCATGCAATTTCCCTTTTCTCTCCCTTTCCATCCCACCTCATGTATCTGTTTAATGTTAATCTTTTCTTCCTGCTCTTCCTCCCTGCTTTGTTCTTAGTTGCTCTCATTATATCAAAGAAGACATTTGGTATTTGTTTTTTAGGGATTGGCTAGCTTCACTAAGCATAATCTGCTCTAGTGCCATCCATTTCCCTGCAAATTCTATGATTTTGTCATTTTTTAGTGCTGCGTAATACTCCATGGTATATAAATGCCACATTTTTTTTATCCATTCATCTATTGAAGGGCATCTGGGTTGGTTCCACAGTCTAGCAATTGTGAATTGTGCTGCTATGAACATCGATGTAGCAGTATCCCTGTAGTACGCTCTTTTAAGTTCTTCAGGGAAAAGTCCAAGAAGGGCAATAGCTGGGTCAAATGGTGGTTCCATTCCCAGCTTTCCCAGGAATCTCCATACTGCTTTCCAAATTGGCTGCACCAATTTGCAGTCCCACCAGCAATGTACAAGTGTACCCTTTTCCCCACATCCTCGCCAGCGCTTGTTGTTGTTTGACTTCATAATGGCTGCCAATCTTACTGGAGTGAGATGGTATCTTAGGGTGGTTTTGATTTGCATTTCTCTGACTGCTAGAGATGGTGAGCATTTTTTCATGTACTTGTTGATTGATTGTATGTCCTCCCCTGAGAAGTGTCTGTTCAGGTCTTTGGCCCATTTGTTGATTGGGTTATCTGTTTTCTTATTGTTTAATTTTTTGAGTTCTTTGTATACTCTGGATATTAGGGCTCTATCTGAAGTGTGAGGAGTAAAAATTTGTTCCCATGATGTAGGCTCCCTATTTACCTCTTGCTGAGAGAAAACTTTTTAGTTTGAGTAAGTCCCATTTGTTGATTTTTGTTATCAACTTTTGTGCTATGGGTGTCCTATTAAGGAGCCCGACCCTACAATATGTAGATCGTAGCCAACTTTTTCTTCTATCAGACGCAGAGTCTCTGATTTGATATCTAGCTCCTTGATCCACTTTGAGTTAACTTTTGTGCATGGCGAGAGGAGGGGATTCAGTTTCATTTTTTTGCATATGGATTTCCAGTTTTCCCAGCACCATTTGTTGAAGATGCTATCCTCCCTCCATTGCATGCTTTTAGCTCCTTTATCAAATATAAGTTGTAGCTTTGTGGATTAGTCTCTGTGTCCTCTATTCTGTACCATTGGTCCACCCTCCTGTTTTGGTACCAGTACCATGCTGTTTTTGTTACTATTGCTCTGTAATATAGTTTTAAGTCTGGTATCGCTATACCGCCTGATTCGCACTTCCTGCTTAGAATTGCTTTTGCTATTCTGGGTCTTTTATTTTTCCATATGATTGCTTTATCCATTTCTACAAGAAATGCCGTTGGGATTTTGATTGGCATTGCATTAAACCTATAGAGAACTTTTGGTAATATCGCCATTTTGATGATGTTAGTTCTGCCTATCCATGAACAGGGTATATTTTTCCATCTTCTAAGATCTTGATCTACTTCTCTTTTTAGGGTTTTGTAGTTTTCATTATATAAATCTTTCACCTCTTTTGTTAGGTTGATTCCCATCTTCCTTATATTTTTTTTTTTTTTTTTTAAATATTTATTTATTTATTTATTTTAGTTTTCGGCGGACACAACATCTTTGTTTGTATGTGGTGCTGAGGATCGAACCCGGGCTGCACGCATGCCAGGCGAGCGCGCTACCGCTTGAGCCACATCCCCAGCCCCTTCCTTATATTTTTATGAGATTCCCCCACCCTCTTTTTTTCCTCTAGCTTCTACATATGAGAGAAAACATCAGACCCTTGACTTTTTTAAAATATTTTTTTTGTTGTAAATGGACACAATACCTTTATTTTATTTTATTTATATTATGTGGTACTAAGGATCAAACCCAGTGCCTCACATGTGGTAGGCAAGTGCTCTACCACTGAGCCACAAGCCCAGCCCTGACCCTTCACTTAACATGTGTTTCCTTCAAATGGCATAACTTCATTTTATTTATAACTGAATAAAACTCCATTCTATATATATACCACATTTTGTTTATCCATTCATCCACTGACAGACACCTAGGCTGCTTCCATAATTTGTTGTGAATTGTGCTGTAATTGTGCTGTAAATATGGGTGTACATGTATCACTGTAGTATGCTGCCTAGAATATTAAAGAAAATCCCAGGCATCATACGGTTTTACTTACCCCCTTAAAAAATACCTGGCATGTATTCAAATTTCTCTGTTTTGAAAGTATCTTTCTATATTTGAATTGTTTATGTCAGGATCTAGCAAGGTTCACATCTTTTTTAAAAAATTGTTTTCACAATACCTTTATTCTATTTATTTATTTGTATGTGGTGCTGAGAATCGAACCCAGGACCTCACACACGCTAGGCAAGCACTCTGCTGCTGAGCTATAGCCCCAGCCCCAAAGTTCACATCTTAATAATTGATTGTTATATCTCAAATCTATGAGAGTTCACTTTTTTGGGGGGGTTAATGACATTTGCTGAAGAAATAATATTATTTGTCATGAATTTGATGATTATATCCTTGTGGTGGCATTAATTTAACATGTTCATCCTTTGTGGTGTGTGTGTATGTGTGCATGTGTTTGTGTGTAAGAGAAAACTGGTAGTTAGATGTGCAGGCTTAATTAGATTCAATTTCCATCCTTTTCATAATATAGCATAGGTTGTACAGTGTGCTTTTCATTGTGTTACAGTAAGACATTGTCTTGTCCTACTTTCAGTGGGCTCTGTACCACCCTGGTCCACCAATTGTAAGGTTCTGCCTCAGCCCTTTCCCTAATGATTTTAGCAACTATTGATGATCCTTCCCTAGATCTATTATTTTCAAAGGGGTTGCAAATTATTCTCTTTTTCTCTAAGTCTTATCATTCCATCTATCATAAATTAGCTACAATGCTTCTAAAATGAAGTTTTCTTTTAGCAATTTAGTTATCCTGAAGTACAGTTGGAATAAGAAAGAGAGTGTAATTACTTGATTCTTTCCTTCTACTGTTTTCAGAGTTCTGTGTTGTTTTCTTAACAACTCTGCAAAGGTGATTAATTTTTTAAAGTATCATTTTGGATACTTCTTGTGTCTGCATTTCAGATCATTTTTTTTTTTTAGTATTTATCCCACTTTTGGCCACTAGGACTCCTTATTTTTCTATTCTCTCCTGCTAGATTATATAACTTTTACACAATAAAAAACAAAGTTAAGGAGATAATCAACACAAACTTTGCTGTCTTGGGCGCTCAGTATTTTTTTTTCTTCACAGCTGGTTCATCAAATTTCCACTGAGTGCCTCTTTTAATATTAAAAAAAAAAAAAGTGGAAGAAGCTCCATACATGGTGGCACATGCCTATAATCCCCAGCTACAGGAGGCTGAGGCAGAAGGATGACAAGTTTGAGGCCAGCCTAAGTAACTTAGCAAGACTTGGTTCCAAAATAAAATTTGAAAGGGCTGGGGGTATAGCTCACTGGTAGAGTAATTGCCCATCATGTGCAAGACCCTGGATGCAATACATAGTACCAAAAATAAGCAAATAAGTCAGAGAGATTTTTCTTTCCTTATTTACAGCAACAGTGTTATTTCAGTTAGCTTTTTTGCTGCTGTGACTAAAAGACCTAACCAGAACAACTGTAGAGGAGGAAAAGTTTATTTGGGGGCTCATGGTTTCAGAGATCTCAGTACATAGACAGTAGGCTCCATTCCTTGGAACTCCAGGTGAGGCTGAACATCATGGTGGAAGAGTGTGGCAGAGGGAAGCAGCTCACATGATGAAAGAGAGAGAGACTGACTGACTGACTGACTTCACTCACCAGATACAAAATATATACCCCAAAGGCATGCCCCTAATGACCCACCTTCTCCAGACAACTTTACCAGCCTCAGCTACCACTCACTCACTCCCATCGGAGAATTAATTCATTGATTGGGTTAATGCTGTCATAACCCGATCATTTGTCCTCTAAACCTTACATTGTCTCATACATGAGCTTTTGGGGGACATATCACATCCAAACCATAACAAGTGTGTAAAGTAGCCCAGTACTGTATTGTACATTGAGTAGGCACTTAATAAATGTACTATTTTTTTTTCTCATCCTGGATTGAGGCAACTTTAGGAATGAGTCATTATAGGCTAGAATCCTCAAAGTATAGTGTCCCCAAAGGTTTTTTATTTTTTTTTGTATCAAAAAAAGGAATGACCCACATTTATTTATTAAAGGTTTGCTTTTACTCCTTTTGGAAAGATAGCCACATTTTCCACGCAATGCTGATTGAATTCTGTTACTCTTACATTAAATCTAAATGTGAAAATTAGTTATATTAATACAGAGGCAACACACAGGTATTTGGTACTGATACTTCTTCAATGCTAATGAGAAACTAACTTGGTTTACCCTTTGTTCCAGATGATGGCCATAAGAAAGCTCGAAATGCTTACCTCAATAATTCCAATTTTGAAGAAGGAGATGAATATTTTGATAAAAACTTGGCACTCTTTGAGGTAATACTTTGGAGAAAACTATGGACAGAGACTTAAGGAACAGAAATTTCAAGATAAGACATTTTCTGTCCCATCTGGTTTTAAAATAGTACAAACTGGATAATATAATAAACAATGTTAAAATAAAATATAGTAGTTAGGGCGGGGGTTGTGGCTCAGTGGTAGAGCACTTGCCTAGCACATGTGAGGCACTAGGTTCAATTCTCAGCACCACAAAAATAAATAAATAAAGGTATTGTGTTCATCTACAACTAAATTTTTTCTTAAAATATAGTAGTTATTGTTATAACTTGTAATTGTTAATTTTGTCTGTATAATCTAATTGTAGCATGTACCCATTAAATCACATTTCTATGAAGTAAGGGAGAAAAGTCACATGAAGAATGTTGCAATCTAGCTTTTCTATGATTTAAATATTTACATTGGAATAATTTTCTAAGTATAAAGCAGTGTATTTCTTAATGCTGTTTGAGGAAAGTGTTATTTATCTTATAATTAAACAAAAACCACTGAGGAAGAGGCTGCAAGTTAAGGAGGACTTGTAGTACAAACCTTGACATTTTTTAAAGTTATTTTGAAATATATATTATTATTAACTGTAGTTACCATGTTGTGTAGTAGATCTGAAAACATTCCTTCTAACTGAACCTTTATGCCTTACCCTGTGACTAACATCTCCCTCTTCTGCCCTCAGCCTCTGGTAACCACCATTCTACTCTATAAGTTCAACTTTTTTAGATTATGCATATAAGTAAGGTCATGTGGTATTTTTCTTATTTCACTTAGCATAATGAAAAGGACTTAGATAAGATTATCTAAGATAAAATATAATCTAATTATATTTTTACTATATGTCTTATAGGTTAAGGACAAACGTTTGTGATTAAACAAAATATCCACCTCAGACCTTTGTTTGAAGGAAGCTGAAAGGAAATACTATTTTAAAAAAATATATTAGGAGATATGACACTTGAATCACTGTCCAAAGCCAGACAAAGGTGGTGGTAGACTAATTACCATATGGTTGGGGGTATAGCTCAGTGATAGAGCATTAGCTTAGCATGCACGAGACCATGGGTTCCATCCCTAGCACAGCAAATAAATATATAGATAGATAGATAGATAGATAGATAGATAAATAAATAAAATGATAGTAATTGCTATAAATGTTAGTAGCCCCCACAAAATGGGTTGTTACAGTTAAGGATCATATTACCAATATTCTTTTCTAGATTGCATTATTTTGTTTGCACTGTAGATAAAGTTTCATAGCTACTAAAAAGAATAATGAGTTTTCATTTAAGAGTGTTATATGTAGGGGATTGAGGGTATAGCTCAATGTTACAGCACTTGCCTAGCAAGCATGTGGTCCTGGGTTTGATCCCCAAAACCACAAAATAAAATAAAAATTTCTAAGCATAAAACAGCATGGAGTTTCTTCAAAAAATTAAAAATAGAATTCTTACATGATCTAGCAATTCCACTTCTGGGTATATATTCCAAAGGAAATGAAATCATTATGCCAAAGAGATATCTGCACTCCCTATTCATTATAGTATTATTCACAATAGCCAAGATATGTAATCAACTCTTAAGTATTCTCAATGGACAAATGGACAGAGAAAATATGGTATACATACACAATGTAATAGTTTACTATTTACTTAAAAAAGAAGGAAATCCTATCGTTGGTCACATGGATGAATCTGGACAACCTTATATTAAATAAAATGAGCCATGCACAGATAGACAAATACTACATAATGTCTATTTATACAATACTACTTAATGTGGAATCTGAAAAAGTCAAACTCATAGAAGTACAAAACAGAATGGTAGTTACCTGGGGCAGAGATAGGACTGACAGGGAGATGTTAGTCATAGAGTATAAAGTTTTAGTGAGACAGGAGGAATAAGTTTTTCAGATTAGTTTATATAACATTATGACTATAGTAAATAAATATTCTCAAAAATTACTCGAGGGCTGGGGCTGTAGCTCAGTGGCAGAGCACTTGCTTAGTATATGTAAGGCACTGAGTTTGATCCTAAGCACCACATAAAAAAATAAATAAAGGCATTCTGTCCATCTACAACTACAAAAAAAAAAAAAAAAAAAACCTTTTTAAAAAAATTTCTCAGCAGATTTTAAATGGTCTCACCACAAAAAAAATAATATTTGAGGCAATGTATATGCTAAGTAGCTTGATTAAATCTTTTCACAGTGTATGCACATATCAAAACATGTTACCCATAAGTACATAAAATTTTAATTTATGCCTTAAAAATAATTTTATAAGGATTTAGTGACCTGATTAAATCCTGCTTTTTGTTTTGTTTTTATTTTTTGTGGTGCTGGGTGATCAAACCCTGGGCCTTGAACATGCAAGGCAAGTACTCTATCACTGAGCTACATTTTCCAGCTCCTTTGTGATCTTTTAAATATGAGGGACAAATAGTTTCATTAATAAATTTTCTTAAAATATTTACATGTGAAATATTTTCTCATTTACTTTGCAGTTTTATGGTCAAAAGTTTATTTTGATCCTTATTGTCAGTGTTCTTCACAACTCATTTCTTCCATATTTCTGACTTTACAGGAAGAAATGGACACCAGACCGAAAGTATCTTCTCTCCTTAACCGCATGGCCAATTACACTAATCTAACACAAGGAGCAAAGGAACATGAAGAAGCAGAAAACATCACTGAGGGGAAAAAGAAGCCCACCAAGGTGAGGCCTTGGAATAACAAGGATAAATTTTAAAAGCCCTATACATAAGAAAGGGGGAAAGATCCATGGCATCATTCTGTGTTCAATAATTATTTATTAAATGCTTGATATATGATCGGAACTATTCTGGGCACTGTTGTCAGCACAGGCAGTACTTGTGGTGTCCCTGCTGTTATGTAGGGAGATAGTCCTTAAACTGTTGTAACTCTGTTAAAGTATATTACATATTAAGTGTTGATTAATGCTTTTAAAAGTTTAATTAAGGTTACAGAGACTAAGACTGATAAAGGAGCCAGACAGATGAGTTTGCTAATTGAGGTAGGCTGGACAGAGAAAGTCCTTCTGAGAAGGTGATATTTGAACAGAGACCTAACTATATGAGGGAATGAGCCATGTGGGAGCGAATAGCATAACAAGTGTGTCCACACCCATCTGCCAAAGCCATCTATCTATAGTGAAGCGTTTTTTAAATACTAAATACCAGTTTTTCTAAAATATGAGACAATATGTATAATTTAACATTCTAATTGTTTAGCTCTTTCTTTGAAAGGGATAAAATGATCTTCATTTTTCCATCTATTTCATTTTCTAACTACTATAATGAATTTTACCCAATTCGAAAGGATTTCCATGAGGTCATTATTCCATTTTTAAATGAAAAGAGAAATCTAACAGCTCTAAAGAACAGAAATTTTTAAATTGTTGAGGGCCACATTCCTGAATATAATAAACACATGAGAACCTATGCAAAATAAAAATGTATATCTCTAAGAATATTAGAAATACAGTGACAGACTTTTCTAGAGATTTATATATGTCTTTTTGAAGATATTACTTAAATTTATTATCTCTGCTTTAAGATAAACATGGTCATTAGGAAGCAAGTTTTTATAGAAAAGATTAAAAAATAAAATGGTAGCAAATTGCAAAAAAGAAAAGTAAAAGAATAAGAACATCTCATGGCTGACTATATAATTTTTCTTTTGTCTATATCTTTCTTTCCAGACTCCCCAAATGGGTACTTTCATGGGTGTCTACCTCCCATGTCTACAAAACATTTTTGGAGTAATTCTCTTTCTACGCCTTACATGGGTGGTGGGCACAGCTGGAGTTCTTCAGGCGTTTGCAATTGTCCTTATCTGCTGCTGCTGTGTAAGTCCCACATTGGCTTTTGGAGGTCACTTAGAGCACTGCGAGTTCTCAGGAGTATATGCACTTGACTTCTTTGGGAATAAAATAAAGACTACTTGGAAAGAATCATGATCTCAACAGTAGGGACTATTCTGATATTAAAATCTAAAGGATTTTCATTTATTTAGTGTCTGTTATTCACCGATGTACTAGAAATTACAAAACAAGACCTCAAGTGGAAGTAGAAGATAAAAGTCCCTATCTTCAAAGAATTCAGAATCTAAATAATTGGAGCTTAATAACACAAAAGTTTTGACAGAAGATGTTTTAGAAAACATCTTCTTTGGTGAACTATTCCAATAGGTCCTGAAAAAAAATATTGACAATTATTTGAGTGGGGGTGAGGTGTTTCTGGTTTGGGTTTGGTTTAGTTTTGAAGTCTCTTCCAAAAGGGAAGAGACTTTCCTAGAAATTCAGTTGTTCTTTCCAGGTCTTCTTTCCTTCTATATTGAGAACATCCTGATCTTCCACTAACTTAAACTCCTATTTTTATGTATCCCAGCCATACTTATCAATTTTATTATAGGTTTCTACTGTCGTCTTTTATTCCTGTCACCATTATGCCCTCCCAGTGCATCATGCTTAGCTGAGTAGTTGAGTATTATACAAAGCAGGTTAAGTGGATATAGCCCATATCATTAATAACTTAATGGTACTACCTTTTTTTTCTTTTCAGTTTCACAGACTTGAAATGTCAATACCATATTTTTGACTCCTTGGTTGCCTTTTATATCTAATCAGCTACAAAGAGCAATCACTCTCTCTTAAATTTCTTAGGTGCAACCCTTCCTTTTCATTTACACTACCACCATTGCAGTTTTATCCCTCACTTAACTTCTGCAGTAGCCTACTAACCAGTCCCTCTGCCTCCAGGTACTCCCTATCTGCAGGCCATTCTACATTCTGCTACTAGGTAATGTTTTTAATCAGTTCTTAGATGCTCAAAAAGTTTTCATCAGTTCTTTTTTATTGACTGTTGTTCTTTTATCATAGCTACAAAATAGCTTGGTATCATAGCTGTAGTCAGGTTCTAAGCTATTTTCCAAAATTTTTTCCATAGTAAATTCTTTTTAATTTACTCTTTTGAATTTGCTATGTAGGCTTTGTTTTCTGTTTAATTAGGATATCCAGGGTGGGATCATTTTGTTCTTAATAGCATCTTATCTACTGAGTACAATGTTAAGGACATATTAACTGTACATGCCAAATAACAGTAGTGTGATTAGTGTAATGAGTTGAATGAGTTGAACCATATTGTCACATTTCCAAACCATTAGGTATATACAGCAACTTCTCCCATAAAAGTAAAAATAGTTAAATGTTTAATACATACCCTGAGGGCTATAGATAGGAAAGTATTATAGAAATTTCAGTCTTACCCCATAACAATATTCTCCTTCTCTTTCTCTACAGACAATGTTGACTGCTATCTCCATGAGTGCCATTGCCACTAATGGAGTAGTGCCAGGTCAGTAGGCCAAGCTTGGATTTCAGTGATTCTTGGTGATTACTGTATGCATAAAGCCAGAGGTGCAAACTTCCAAGGAACAGAATACTCTTTAGGCTGTTGTCCTATACTACAATAGAGTTAGCAGTCTACAGGTCATAGAAACTAATACTGTTTGACCTTAGGGTACCTTCTTTAAAATTTATTTTCTAGACAGTTGCTTTAATTTCAGTCACACTCTTAGCTTCTTCTAGTTAGAATGTATTTTATTAGACAATCTCATATCTGAAGTAAAATCCCTGATTTCTTCCTTATACTGACATTAGATGTCAATATATATCCTACAATCAAGGCTTTGTCTATTACTTCCCTCTAGCAAATCTTTTTTTTTTTTTTCACATTTAGGATTTTCAAAAGCTTGAGACATTTGAAGGATCATGTGTATGTTTATTGTTCCTATTTATAACTTTTTATATTCCTTTTACTAATACTTTCTCTTTATCCTGTTCATCTTCTATTTTGTCTTTTAGCTGGGGGCTCATACTTTATGATTTCCCGGGCACTGGGTCCCGAGTTTGGCGGGGCTGTTGGCCTCTGCTTTTATCTTGGTACCACATTTGCAGCAGCCATGTACATCCTTGGTGCCATTGAAATTTTTCTGGTAAGTAATGTCTTAACTTGTAGTCTACAGTATAGAAAAGATATAGATTTGGGCTTATTTTGTTATTCAGTATCAGTGTTTCAAGACATCAGTTATAGAAATCAGTGAGGTGGTTACTAGCTCATTTCTTGGTTCTCACTATGAATAGGAAGCAGAAAAGTTGAGGTATCCTTTGCCGGCTTATCCCTTCCCTCCACTTGATCACTGCCACTCTGCTGCCTCAGTCAAGGAGTTAATGTCTAATTAATTAATTGAAACAGGAGACAAAACATGTGCCAATGGGGAAATAGTAAAATGCAGCTTTTTAAATATATATATAATAAATATATTAAATATATATAAATAAATAAAAATATATCTCCCAGTGAAATAAAATGCTTCAATTTCTCTATTCACTGAGACATATTTTTTTATTTACAGTAATGACAGAAGAAGCAGGGCTCAAAATAATAATTATTTTATATATTCCTTTGAATAAAAAATATCAACTTGTTCCTTTTTTCCATTTGGAAATATAATTATTCAAGGGAAAAAAATTCATGATATCCCATTTCTGTAGGCATTTTAGATCCAAATAGGAATTAAGCTAATTCTCCAGTCATTTTTTGTTTTAGCTTTGCTTTTCCTTCAGGTCTTTTATGTGATTATTTTGAAATGATCTCATTTTCTACTTTTTTTGGCCTACCAGGTATATATCGTCCCCCGGGCTGCCATCTTTCGCAGTGATGATGCACTCAAGGAATCAGCAGCCATGCTAAATAACATGCGTGTCTATGGCACAGCCTTTTTGGTCCTCATGGTATTGGTGGTTTTCATCGGCGTACGCTATGTGAACAAGTTTGCCTCACTTTTCCTGGCTTGTGTCATTGTGTCCATTTTGGCCATCTACGCTGGAGCCATCAAGTCTTCTTTTGCCCCACCACACTTCCCGTATGTCTGTCTCTTGGTCTAGTCATCACTGGGGAGTCATTGACAGTATCTGGTGATGTGATAATTTAAATCAGAATTTCATGGAGTCACCTGAGATTTCTCTGTTGGCCCAGTTATCTGTCAGGAAGCCTCCCAGAAAATTAAGTCCTGTTGATCTCTTCTTCCTTATGTCCTAAGCATAAAATTAGCAGCTGTGGTCATCATTCAAATAAATATTAGGTTTTCTTCACAATAGTAGTGATTGCACATATTTGAACTATTCATGAAGGACTTTAAAAGTGTAGTCATTGCCAGCAAACTTTAAGGTATTTAATTGTTGAAAAATCAATAGTCAAAAGAACTCTAAATTGTTTAATTAATTTTTTTATCCTGTCTTAGAATAAATTCCTGCTAAGAATTTATAGTTATAAAATAAGCAGAGCCAGGAATAGTAGCACTCTCCTATAATCACAGCGACTTGAGATGCTGAGGCAGAAAGATCACAAGTTTGAGGGTATTTGTAATCTTATTTTTTTGAAAATAATTTGAAAAATTATCTGGATGCTCTAGAAATCAAACTCCTTAGTTCTATGTTGATTTAACAAGATTACAGAAAAATTAGGGTTTTTTTTTAACTCTTTTTTTTCTGAACACAATATCTTTATTTATTTTCATATGGTGTTGAGGATTGAATCCAGTGCCTCACGCATGCGAGGCAAGTGCTCTACCACTGAGCTACAACCTCAGCCCCGAAAAATTGCTTTTATATGTTGAAAAAAAAAAAAAAAAAACAGGTCCAGTGAAGTTAATGACTTTGCCCCCAAAATAATTAATGTCAGAGCAAGAAAACGAACCTGATTTCCCAACTTTGGTCCAGTATTCCTTCTGTGTCATGCTACATGATGTCAGTAACAAATTACATCAAAAATTTTTCTTCTGTTTATTAGTTACTATAAAATAGCTAAAGATCTTTTTTAGAGGCATGGAAGTTCTAAAGGCAATATTATTCTGCATCTTACCTTGGGAAATTTCATTTTGCCTCAGGTTATCCTTTGGGGTTTCTTAACCCATCTTTTTTGGTTAATAAGAAAGTCATAATACATGGTATTTTCTTTAAAATCCAGCAAAACAAAATGAAAAACCTAGAGAAATACCCAAAACAAAACGGGGAACTGTTGAGAGTTGTTGAATTTGAGTAACAGGTATATGGAAGTGTGTGTGTGTAATCACTTTGTAGTTTTTAAAAGTTCTACCTAATAGGTATTTTAACCATGGGTATATTTATTCTTTATTTGTATTATTTTTTCTGGATAGAAGAAAAGTAAATTAGAAGGGAAGAAAAAATATTTATATTACCTTTAAATATCCTCACTCCCACTGGGTCTAGGCTTATGTTCAAAAACAGTTTTCTCTTAGGCCACAGAGGGATGTGCTTTTTAATTTTAGCCAACCTGTCTTCCTCACAACCATAACCAGAAGGTTTAACGTTTCCAAGAGGATGTCAAGAATTTAAGACTTTACTAAGCGAAAAATGAAAAAAAAAAAAGACCATTTTAAAAATAAGAATGAAAAGATTCTAGGATTCTTTCTGATTTAACAATTGATTTGTAGCCTAACATTTTTTGGAAGATGAGTCAGCATAGTGTCTTCTGATTGTTCTTGTTTGAGTTGTATCGCTGCCACCAATCACTTGTATGACCTTGGGCAAAATATTGTATTACCTTAAACTTCAGTTCCTCCATCCACAGAACAGAAATATTAATACATTGCAAGATCCCTATAAGGATTATTTGGTGGTAACTATAAGTCATCATTCACAATGCTACTCAATAAATATCATTTCCTCTCCTACCTATGACAGAATAAGCTCTCACTACTGAGATTTTTTTCCCCTTTACTGACCTGTTTCCTTTTTTAAAAATGTGTGTGTGTGTTTTCTTGTTGATCTTTTCCCCATTTGTTTTCACTTAGGGTTTGCATGCTGGGTAATCGTACCCTTTCATCAAGACACATTGATGTTTGCTCTAAGACCAAGGAAATTAACAATATGACGGTACCATCAAAGTTGTGGGGATTCTTCTGTAACTCAAGTCAATTTTTCAATGCTACCTGTGATGAATACTTTGTTCACAATAATGTCACTTCAATCCAGGGCATTCCTGGGTTGGCTAGTGGTATAATTACAGGTAAGTTAGTGGGTTGTTAGACATGTTTTTATTCTTCTCTTAGGAAAATAGACTTTTTCTCATGTTATATTCTTTTATTGTCCATGAAGACATATGGCCATGATGGGACTTCCTGTCTTAAGCTCTCAGCACACAGCTCTTAATTCAATATATTTCTACTTTCCTCTTAGAAAAATTGTGTAAGACTCCCTTGCAGAGAGTTATCTATTAAAATATATGTCCCTCTGAGGACAGAGCTGACTAAAATATTTTGTGTATATTCTCTGTCTGCTGTCTGTGTCTCTGTCTTTCTGTCTCTCTCTCTCTGCCTCTGGCTCTCTTTGAGACAGAGTCTTGCTATGTTGTGCAGTCTGGCCTCCAACTTCTAGGCTCACATGTTCCTCCTGAATCGGTCTTCTCTGTAGCTGGGGCTACAGGCACATGCCACCACATCCAGCTTTGTGTATTCCTGAAAAATTGCCAGTGTTCCTCCTGCAGTGACAGTTAAAATAGAACTGTTTTAATGTCACTACACCCACACATGTGTTTTCCTAACTCAGCTAAATTCTCAAAACTCTCGTTAAGTGACATCTACTTTAAATGTTTGGTTCATGAATTCTTTGCATGTTAAACAAGCTCACACTAAAGTGTTAGAAATAATATTGATAACTAACAAAAAAAGAATAATGGACTTTCTGAGATGTTCAGTTTGACTGCATTTGTTGTATCAAAGCATTTTGTCAAGTTATATTTAAATTAAGTGAGAAAAGGCATTATGTTTTTATTTATGTGTATTTTATTCCACGGTGTTTATTTATATGCTTTAATTGAAGAAACAGTCAGCCCTTTTAAAACTTTGATAAGGGGGTGGGGTTGTGGCTCAGTGGCAGATTGCTTGCCTAGCATGTGTGAGGCACTGGATTTGATTCTCAGCACTGCGTATAAATAAATAAAATAAAGGTCCATCAACAACTAAAAAAAGAATTTAAAAAAAACTTTGAGGTGTTAGATATGTAGCTCAGTCATAGAACACTTGCCTAGCACATATAAGACTCTGGGTTCAATTTGTAGCACTACTAAATAAATAAATACTATATGAAAGCAAAGTCTGATTTTTAATATTGTTTGGGTAGGAAATTACCTAATTATATTCTTATCATACTGCTGTTACCTATATTCTCTTTTTTTCCCACTGCAGAGAATCTTTGGAGTAATTATCTACCCAAGGGAGAGATCATTGAAAAACCCTCAGCCAAATCATTTGATGTCTTGGGAAGTTTAAATCATGAGTATGTTCTTGTTGATATTACCACCTCCTTCACACTCCTAGTGGGGATCTTCTTTCCCTCTGTCACAGGTAAGCAGATACACTGTTTTATATTTTAAAAGCTGTCAGACCTACAGAGTGATTTTTTTTCCTAAGGAGACAGAATTATATTTTCAAGGTTCCTCAATTTGCTTTTGGCTTGGGTATTAATATGAATATCAAGGTTTCCAGGAGCTGAAGAAATTAACTTGGGCTTTCCCCCCACTCTAAAAGGTATCATGGCTGGTTCTAATAGATCTGGAGATTTGAAAGATGCTCAGAAGTCTATTCCCATTGGAACTATCCTTGCCATCCTGACCACGTCCTTTGTCTGTATCCTTTTCATGAGTCTTAGAGGAACATCCAGTAGAAGTAGGACAATCAGTGCTTTTACAGTGAATAAAATTATCTCCTTCTATGACCTCACTAATTACTAGATGATCTACCTACCTTATGTGAAAAATTCAAGAAGAATTTTATAGGGTTAGTATATTTAGCCACTCATTTTATTGATAGGAAAAATAATGCTGAGTGTCTACTTCTTATCTGATGTTAGAAGATAAGCAGCAGTTTCCTTGACTAAGTGTGGTAGATTTAAGCAACGTTATCCTTTTTGGTGCGTGTATTGAAGGTGCTGTTCTCAGAGACAAGTGAGTAGTTAATTTCTTTGTAATAATCATATGTCTCTTCTATGACATCTGATCATCCAACAGAGCTCCAAGACAGTTGTAATCTCAAAAATCCAACCAAAGGTATAAATCATGACTAACAATAAGAAAATGTATGTATTGAATTGTAAGTTAAGACCACTAATAGCACACTTGCCTAACGTGTGCGAGAACCCTGGGTTCTAATCCCCAGCACTTAAAAGAAAATATATGCATATAGTTTCCCAAACTATTAGTGAATAATAAGGTCCAGTGTGTTATAAATATGTGTGATGCAATGAATATCACTCTTCAAAAAAAGCAGTGAATTTGCCTGAATAAGTATTTCCTTATACAGTTTAAAAACTGTTGGGAAACTAGTCCAGAAAAGTATGGAAGAGCAAATAAAACAAAACAACTTTGAAGTGTCTAGCATTTCCTTTGTGAGATAATTTTTTGTCATTTTAAATAAAAGCTGTTAATTTTTTCTTTCCTCTGTGAATGCTGCTGTTTTGTTGTTGCCATCTTTTTCTCTTCTCTAAAACAGTGTTTTTGCCAGATAATTCTAAGCAAATATTTCCTTGAAACCTGCTGCTTCTCATGTTTCCCATCTTGATTAATAGCCTCCCCTTTCACCCCTCTCTCAAGACAGAAATCTAGGTGTCATCTTAGGCTTTTGCCATTAATTCCCTCATTCAGGTGGTTTCTAAGCCCTGTAAATTCCACCCTTCCACTTTAACTGGTCTCATTATTTCCCCTATTCTGTATTCCCATCACTTTGTACTGGCCTTCAGGATTTTTGGCCTATGTTATTTTAATAATCTCCCTTTCAGTTTTACTGCCTTCTAATCAGTCTTTCACACTGCTAGTAGGACAATTTTTCTAAAGCACAAAATTTGTTCACGTAAATCTCCTTGCTTAGAGCTTGCCAAGTCCCTTTAAAATCTATCACTTTGATGAACTGGACTCACTTCTGTAGTCCTAGCTGCTCAGTAGGCTAAGGCAGGGGATCAAAAGTTCTAGGCCAGCCTGGCAATTTAGAGAAACCCTGTCTCAAAAAATCTTACTGGATTAGAGGTGTAGCTGAGGGGTAGAGTGTTTGCCTGGTAAATGTGAGGTCCTGGGTTCAGTCCCTAATATTGCAAAAAATAATTTTAAAAGACAAACACCACTTTGATCTGTACCTCTGCACCTCTTTCTGCTCTTACCTCTCACCATTCCTTCATAAGCTCCTTATGCTCTAGTCGTAATTTAGAGTTAAATGTGCTTTATTGTTTCAGATCTCTGTATATATACACCTTTGTCTAATCTGTTTCCTTTGCTTAGAATCAAGTATCCCGTGCCCAATTTCATCACTGTTATTCAACATAGTCCTTGAAACTCTAGCCAGAGCAATTAAGCTAAACAAGGAAATTAAAGTGATACACATAGAAGAGTTCAAATTATCTTTGTTTTTATATTTAGAAGACCCAAAAACTTCCACCAGAATACTTCTAGAATTCACAAATGAATTCAGCAAAGTAGCAGGATACAACAGCAACACCAATAAATCAATCACATTCTTAGACTCTAACGATGAATCTCCTGAAAGAGAAATTAAGAAAACTATCCCATTCACAATAGCCTCAAAAAAAAAAAAAAAATGCTTGGGAATCAATCTAACAAAAGAGATGAAAGACCTCTGCAATGAAAATTACAGAATACTAAAGAAAAACTGAAGAAGACCTTAGAAGATAGAAAGATCTCCCATGTTCTTGGATAGGCAGAATTAATATTGTCAAAATGGCCATACTACCAAAAGCACTATACAGATTTAATGCAATTCCTATTAAAATTCCAATGACATTCTTAATAGAAAAAGCAGTCATAAAATTTGTTGAGCAAAACAAGAGGCCCAGAATAGCCAAAGCAATCCTTAGCAAGAAAAGTGAAGTAGAAAGCATCACAATACTAGACCTTAAATTATATTACAAAGCTATAAACAGCATAGTTTTGGCACCAAAACATACATGAAGAACAGTGGTACAGATTAGAAGCAGAGATAAACCCACATAAATACAGTTATCATACTACACAAATGTGCCATAAACATACATTGGAGAAAAAGATAGCCTCTTCAACAAATAGTGCTGGAAAAACTGGAAACCCATAGTATGTACTAGAATGAAATTGAATCCTTATCTCTGACACCCTGCACAAAACTCAGCTCAAAGTGGATCAAAGACCTAGGAATTAGACTAGAAACCCTGTGCCTACTAGAAGAAAATGTAGATCCAAGTCTCCATCATGTCAGTTTAGGAACTGAATTCTTCAGCAAGACTTGGAATGGAATCACCATTTGACCCAGTTATCCCATTCCTGGATATATACCAAAAGGACTTAAAAGCAGCATACTTGGGCTGGGGATGTGGCTCAAGTGGTAGCGCGCTCGCCTGGCATGCGTGTGGCCCGGGTTCGATCCTCAGCACCACATACAAACAAAGATGTTTGTGTCTGCCGATAACTAAAAAATAATTATTAAAAAATTTCTCTCTCTCTCTCTCTCTCTCAAAAAAAAAAAAAAAAGCAGCATACTATAGTGACACAGCCAAATCAATGTTTATAGCACCCCAATTCACAATAGCTAAGCTACGGAAACAACCTAGATGCCCTTTAAGAGATGAATGGGTAAGAAAATGTGGTATATATACACAATGGAATATTACCAAGCCATAAAGAAGAATGAGATTATGGCATTTGCTGGTAAATGGATGGAACCAGAGACTATGATACTAAGTAAAATAAGCCAATCCAAAAAAAAAACAAAGGCCGAGTGTTCTCTCTGATATGCAGATGCTAACACACAAGTGTGGGGGCAGAATTTCATTGGATTAGACTAAGAGGAATGAAGGGAAGGGAGAATATGGGACTAGGAAAGACAGTAGAATAAATTGGACATAACCTTCCTATGTTCATATGTAAATACACAACCAGTGTAACTCCACATCATGTACAACCACAAGAATGGGAAGTTGTACTCCATGTGGGTATAATATATCTAAATATACTCTACTGTCATGTATATCTAAACAGAAGGGCTGGAGTTGTAACTCAGTGGTAGAGCACTTGCCTAGCATGTGTGAGGCTCTGCGTTCAATTCTCAGCACCACATATAAATAAATGAATAAAATAAAGGTCCATCAAATCTAAAAAAATTAATTAATAAATAAAACCAAGCAGGTCATACCTTTATATAAAAAAATAAATAAAATAAATAAAAAGAAAAATTTTAAATCCCTTAAAAAAAAAAAAAAAACAGCATGATACTGGCACCAAAACAGGAAGAACACCAATGGAATAGAAAACAAACCCACTTCAGTACAGTTATCTGATACTAGAAGATCTAGGAATTAGATAGAAACCCTACACCTGCTAGAAAAAAATGTGGGCCCAGTACTTCAACATGTTGGCTCGGGAACTGACTTCCTTGACAAGACTCCTAGAGCCCAAGAAATAAAATCAAAAGTCAATCAAATTAAAAAAGCTTCAGAGCATTAAAAAGCTTCAAAGCAAAGGAAACAGTGCAAAGAGAAAGCCAACAGAATGGGAGAAAATCTTTGCCACCTGCTCCCCAAGTAGGGCACTAATATCCAGGATATATACAAAGAACTCAAAAGAACACCAAAAATTCCCCAGATAACCCACTTAATAAATGGGCAAAGGAACTAAACAGACATTTCTCAAAAGAAGAAATACAGATGGTCAACAAATATAAGAAAAAATATTCAACATCTCTAGAAATTAGAGCAATGCAAATTAACACTACCCTGAGATTTCATCTCACTCCAGTCAGAATGGCAATTATCAAGTAGGCAAAGAGTAATGAAGGGAAAGGATAAGGGATAGGATAGGGGAAAACAGTGGGATGAATCTGACCAAATTTGAGAAGGGATTTAAGTGGTGAAGTGCCCCTGAGTTCAATTCCCTAGTATAAAACAAAAAAGGAAAAAAAAATGCAGGGCTGGGTTGTCTTACATGTGTGAGGCATTGGGTTCAATCCTCAGCACCACATAAAAGAATAAAAAAATAATAAAGTTATAAAAATCATACACAAAATTTCTCACAGTAATAGTATTTTATTTATTTTTATTCTTTTTTTTTAGGTTTATGTGGACACAATATCTTTATTTTAGATTGTGGTACTGAGGATCAAACTCAGTGCCTCAAGCATGCTAGGCAAGGACTCTACCACTGAGCCACAACCCCAGACCTATTTTTATTCTTTTAAAAAAATTTTTTTAGTTGTAGATGGACACAGTACCTTTATTATATTTATTTATTATTTTTATGTGGTGCTGAGGATCAAACCCAGTGCCTCACGTGTGCAAGGCAGGCGCTGTGCCGCGAAGCCACAATCCCAGCCCAGTAATAGTATTTTTTTTATTATTTATATATGACAGCAGAAGGCATTACAATTCTTATTACCCATATAGAGCATAATTTTTCCTATCTCTGGTGGTATACAAAATATATTCACATCAATTCATGTTTTCATACATGTACTTTGGATAATAATGACCATCACATTCCACCATCATTTCTAACCCCATGCCCCCTCTCCCTTCTCTTCCAACCCCTCCGCCTTATCTAGAGTTCGTCTATTCCTCCCATGCTCCCCCTCCCTACCCCTCTATAAGTTAGCCTCCTTATATCAGAGAAAACATTCAGCATTTTGGGATTGGCTAACTTCACTTAGTGTGAACAGACACTTCTCAGAAGATATACAATCAGTCAACAAATACATGAAAAAGTGTTCATCATCGCTAGCAGTTAGAGAAATGCAAATCAAAACCACTCTAAGATTTCATTTCACTCCAGTCAGAATGGCAGCTATTATGAAGACAAACAACAATAAGTGTTGGCAAGGATGTGGGGAAAAAGGTACACTCATAACTGCTGGTAAGACTGCAAATTGGTGCAGTCAATATGGAAAGCAGTATGGAGATTTCTTGGAAAATTGGGAATGGAACCACCATTTGACCCAGCTATCCCTCTCCTTGGTCTATACCCAAAAGACTTAAAAACTGCATACTACAGGGACACAGCCACATCAATGTTTATAGCAGCACAATTCACAATAGCTAAACTGTGGAACCAACCTAGATGTCCTTCAGTTGATGAATGGATAAAAAAATATATTAAATATACACAGTGGAATATTACTGAGCAATAAAAGAGAATAAAATCATGGCATTTGCAGGTAAATGGATGGAGTTACAGTAATAGTATTTTTAAATACCAAAATCAAAATAATCCAGGTATCTATAATGAATAAATTATGTATTCATGCAATGGAAAATAAAAGTAAAATAACTGGACTGGGGTTGTAGCTCAATGGGAGAGCCCTTGCCTAGCATGTGTGAGGCTCTGGGTTCATTTGATCCTCAGCACTGCATGAAAATTCAAAAAGTATGTATCCATCTACAACTAAAAATATTTGTAAAAGGTAAAATAACCACAAAGATAATAGGGGGGAAAAAAAGAATTTCCACAATGCTGAGTTTAAAAAAAATGCAAAATGTATATACTGTATTTCATTTGTTTAAAATTTAAAAACATATAGAACTACATAGCATTAAAAAACAGAGTAATGGAAAGTGGAGAAGAAGGAAGGGCTTGTGATTGGGAATAGAAAGACTTGGATGCTGGAAGTGTTCTTTTATTTTACCTATAAGGTAGTTCATGGGTATTTGCTTTGTGGAAGTTTATTGAGATATACATTTGGGTTTTGTACATTATTTTGTGTGTGTGGTACTTAATTTTAAAATGAAGATAATTAGAGATTATCATATCTCACCCATTAAATTTGCAAATTTTAATACTCACATCTTGTGTGGAATATGTTATGTGTATAAGACTTGAAACCTCACTGCATCTAATAAGTATAACCTTTCTGGAAAGCAGTTTGTGATTTTGAAATGATTAAAAATATTGGTCCCTCCCCCCACCCATCCATGGTTTTTCCCTCAAGAATCTGCTATAAGAGAAAAAATTTGGTACATCTATGTAGTATGTGCATTAAAGATGTTAATTAACATGTATTTTATATGATTAGAAGAATGGATAATATATATTATTAATATATATTATTCAAACCACTGAATTTTTATTCATGTTTTTTCATAACACAGTAAAATGAATATGCTTCAAAAGAATACAGAATTAGCTGGGCATGGTGGCTCATGCCTATAATCCAGGGATTTGGGAAGTTGAGACAGGAAAATTACAAGTTTGAGGCCAGCTCAGCAGCTTAGTGAGGTCTTCAGCAACTTAGTGAGACCCCATCTCAACATAAAAAATAAAAAGGACAGGGAATGTAGCTCAGTGGTAAAAAGCCCCTGGATTTAGTCTCCAGTATAAAAAAAAATACAGAATTATAGGTTCATTAAGTGTTTAAAGGTTCATCAGTGTTTAAAAAATGTTTAAACTGTGCAAGAGTATTTTCTAAAATACGCAGAGTATGCAGTTAAGATTATGGATTTCCCACCCCCCACCCCTTTTCTTTTTGCCCTTTAACAATTTCCCCTCAAAAGCAAATATTTTGATAATCCAAAGGGGAAAGCTACAAACAAAGCTTATCTTATTTTCTGGCCCTACTAGTTTTTTGTTGTTGTTTGTATGTGTGTGTGTGTGTGTGTGTATGTTTTAATACAGTTCAGCAGTGCCTTTGTAGTGTAGGTGGGTAGTTGGATAAACCCAGGGCCTTGTGCATGCTAGATAAGTGCTCTACTACTGAGCTTCCCCTATAAGTGTCTTTGTTGTTGTTGTTGTTGTTTTCTGAGTGGGGGGCAGGGGTTGTCGGGTTAACCAGGGATTGAACCCAGGGCCTCCAGCATGGTAAGCTAACACTCTACCCCTGAGCTACATTCCCCTCTTCCCCATCAGTGCCTTTCAATCAAAGCTTTCTGTCTTTGTATTTCTTGGTATTCATATCTGCCTCAAATTTTATTTTCCAAAAATTATAAATTAAAAAAATTGGGCAACTATCTCTTTCTAAAGTCCAAAGTTATTTTCAAATTAAATTTCCCTACTGTTTATTTCTTTATCTAGGTTTGGGGATGCTGTGAAAGGTAATTTGGTGGTGGGCACATTATCTTGGCCATCCCCGTGGGTGATTGTTATTGGCTCCTTCTTTTCAACATGTGGGGCAGGACTTCAGAGCCTCACAGGTGCCCCAAGGCTGCTTCAGGCTATTGCCAAGGATAACATCATACCATTTCTGAGGGTGAGTGACTTTTTCCTACGTCCTCTTCTTTTTTCCACATTTTATGAGAAACAGTGTGGTCTTTGTGGGCTTAGGTATTACTAGCTCATAAATATGGAAATGTGCGGTTTTAGTACAAGACCCTCTAAATTCTAGTATGAGTTTATATACGTTTGCTGTAGGGTGTTTAAAAGACAACATTTTTGTAACACTGTTATTTTTCAGATGTCAAATTGTAGGTTACAAGAATGAGGGCACATTGACTAACTATAACTATGACTGATATTTTCCCTTCTATACGTAGGTTTTTGGTCACAGCAAAGCCAATGGGGAACCTACCTGGGCTTTACTTCTAACTGCTGCTATTGCAGAGCTGGGAATCCTTATTGCCTCCCTGGATCTTGTGGCCCCAATTCTTTCCATGTAAGAGCCAGGTGTTCTCTTCAATTATTCTTGCTTAAATGACATATAACACATGATTTCCACAAATCATTTAACAGTAATTATAGTGACATAGTGGGCTACATACAGGTTTTACTTCACTTAAATAATATTCCTGAGAACTTTCATGTAAGACTAGCTTATAAATTACCATGGGTTTTTCTCTACTTACACAACTTGAATTTTTCCTATCCCCTCTTTTTTTTAATGGTACTAGGGGTTGAACCCAGGGAATGTTAGGCAAACACTCTACCACTAAGCTATAACCCTAGTCCTTATTGTTCTTCCAGGTTTTTTCTCATGTGTTACCTCTTTGTGAACTTGGCATGTGCCTTGCAAACATTACTTCGAACACCCAACTGGAGGCCCCGATTCCGCTACTACCACTGGTAGGTCTGCTTGTTTTCTTCTTTTGGAGAGGAAATATTTCTAAGCTAGAAAACTAGGAGATTCTGGGTTCTTGATACATTTGTTTTTCTTGGCCAGCCATTCTATAAGTCTATTTTAACATTTAGTTCTCATGTGGATCCTCACTTTTGTATTCAATTTTTTTTCTAAATCACATTGTAATAACTTGATCACTTTATAATATCACACTAAGAATAAAGATAACTATAATATACATTATTTCCAGGCATTTTCATTGTTTAGGTTAAAACAACCTTTCCATTACAATTCTATTTTCCCATTTCCCTCTTAGCTAAGCACTTAACTTCATCCCTTTTTATTTTGCTCTCATATTCTCATTAGTTTTCATTCACTCACTTTCTTCCTTAGGAGAATTTCATTTAGTAGTTAAGAATGTTGACTGTGGATTCAGGTGATCCAAGTTCATAGCTTAAAACTACTTCCTCACATTGTAACCTTCAGCAAAGCACATAACCTTGTAAAATCTCATTTTACTTGTTATAAAAGGGACTAATAAGTCTGGAGTGCTTAGTACAGTGTCTGGTACATAGTAAAGCTCTTAATGAAATGGTGTTGCTACTATTGTGGTTAAGCCTCCCCAGTCCTGAAGGAGCCATCCAAGTTTTCTGGCTGCCATCCCATCTTCTTTTTCATAACCTAAGAGTTTTTAAGTTATATTTTATATGTACCTGTTACTTCATTCCTCTTTGCTAGCTTTCCTTTTCTGGCTTCACTTACCAATGGTGGGAAGTGATATGGTGGATAAAAATTTTTTAGACTTTTCAACGGATTTTAACACTTCTGATCTTCTTTCTAGTCTTAAATTTAGTTTAAAATTCATTATGAACATTTTTGTTTTGCTAGCTTGCTTCTATTTTTTTTTTATTTTTATGAGATCTTCTCTAAGTTAATAACTTTCCTAGTCACATTTTAAAATTTCCTAGTCACAGAGCTAGGATGTTCATTCTGCACACAGAAGAGCTTCAGGAAATGTAGTTATCTAATTTTATTTGATCAAAGCACATATTTCATGTAGGGCCTGTGGTTCTGTGGTAGAGCACTTGTCTAGCATGCTTGACTCCTTAAGTTTAAAGCCCACCCAGTACTACATACGTTATACAGACAGACAAGACAGACAGACTGACTAACTGATCTTTATGTTAAAGAGGCATATTTAAAAAAAAAGTATTTCATTACTCCCTACCAAGTTTCTCTTATGTACTGTAAGGAAACTAATAGCAAATTTTCCTCAGTGGGTTCTGAGTTATGCTAATGAAATGTTCATAAAATTTTTAGAAATATTTATATGAAAAAATCTTAAAGATTATAGCATTATTAACATTTCTGACTGCATGTTCAATATCTGCTTTGCCAAATTAGTATTAATTGTCTTCCTCATTACAGATGATGTTTGTAGAGTTGCTGTTTTCTCATGTTTTTATAGCCATGGGGAGAAATCCTCTATTACAAAGGATGCTTTGGGGGCTCAGTACAGATCTACCAGCTGTTTGTGGTCAGTTTATGATAAGACAACTATAGAAATTGGGAATAAGTATTTAGAAATTTTATAGCAACTCAAGCTTGCCACATGGACTGGGGGTGTGGCTTAGTAGTAGAGTACTTGCCCAGTATGCTCAAGGACTTGGGTTCAATCCCCCGCACCACAAGAAAATAAAAACACATTGCCATAACATTCCCTGCTTGAGATAAATTTTCTAACAGTGCATTTTTATTGCATTCTATAAAAGTTCCATCTGTAATGGATTAAAAAATAATAAACCCATACCACAAATAATTTGAGAAGTACCTTTAGCACAGTCTTCTTTTTTTGTTGCTTAAAAAATCCTTATTTATGTTTTGTTTTCAACTTTCTAGGGCCCTCTCTTTCATCGGAATGAGTATCTGTCTAGCTCTGATGTTCATTTCTTCCTGGTATTATGCCATCGTAGCTATGGTAATAGCTGGTATGATCTACAAGTACATTGAGTATCAAGGGTGAGTGTGGATTTCACCTTGATCACTGCTAAAAGTATTAAGACTGGCAATGAAAATTAATTTAGGATCCAGATAACTTCATTTGTCCCTAACTAAATTTTGCGTCCCTAACTAAATTTTGCATCCCTGATTCTTTTATCATCTTACAGATAATAAACTTTTAATTACAAGAAAGTGTGAATAGCTCAATGAAAAATAACTAAAAGAACATAGCCAAATAATAATGAGAGGTACTAAGCACAATATAACATTGAAGTCAAGGAATTGTCTGTGAAATAAAAAATTAAATTAGTCCTAAATAATTTTGTTAAAAGAGAGACTTCATAACATTTTGATTCAGAAGATTACATTGAATTTTACTTTCCCACGTATTTTCAGAATAATTTAAGTTCTTGGTCTGTGACACTTTCCTAATCCAAACGACTATTTTATATTACTGCTTTTAAATATACATAGGGACCAAGCAAGTGGCCTTCCAGTCTTTATTCTGAATCATCTGTGCAATGCAATCTGTGGTGCTGGCTGGTGTTCATTTGCTGTTAGTGGATTCATTATGTTAGTGAAGAACATTATATAAATCATTAATATGTTTTATCTTCTACTTTGTGCATTTGTACTTTTAGATTTTAAAAAAAATGAACTTTATTTTTTGAAATTTATACTTACTTGGTTTAAGTCTGTCTCTGCTCTTTTCTCCTTTTTCTTCCAGAGCTGAGAAGGAATGGGGCGATGGTATCCGTGGGCTGTCCCTCAGTGCAGCCCGGTTTGCTTTGCTTCGGCTGGAGGAAGGACCTCCACACACTAAAAACTGGAGGTAAAGAAATCAACAAGGCCTAGTGGTGTTTGGCACATAGTTAATGCACAAAAAATTATGTGCTTTGTTGATTACAGGATAAGATAATCATACTGCTCAAGGAATTGGAATAATGGACCTTTTTTTTTTAACTATCTCAAATCTTTATTGCCTTTTCATCATGTGATTTGTTATCTAGATTTCTATCATTTGTTGTTTTCTCTTGAAGACTGATAAATTTGAGATAATACTGAGAGCATTCAAAATAACTCAGTACCCTCATCTTATTCCTCCGACTTCTTCCTATTATCAAATTACATGTTTTATATAGATCTCCTGAATTAAAGTGGGAATTGACATTCTTTTTCTCAAATCCAAAATGTTTTCTCCCTCCACCCCTCATCTAACCTCTTCACAGGCCTCAGTTGCTTGTATTACTGAAACTAGATGAAGACTTACATGTCAAGCATCCTCGCCTCCTCACCTTTGCCTCACAGCTCAAAGCAGGAAAGGGTCTCACTATTGTGGGTTCTGTCATTGTGGGGAACTTCCTGGAGAACTATGGTGAAGCTTTAGCTGCTGAGCAGGTAAGAGTCAAGATTTATTGACTTGGTAGAACTTAGTGTAAGCATTGTGATGTTTGGTACTAAAAGTTCAGACTTATAAGTCAATTCATTTCCTGTGTGATCTAGGTTTCCCAGTTAGGGCTAATTCTTTTTTTTGTTTTTTCTTTGTGGTACTAGAGATTGAACTCAGAGTCTTGCAAGTTAGGCAGGCACTCCACAGCCCTTCTTATTCATTTATTTATTTATACAGGATTTCACTAAATTTCCGAGGTTGGCCTCAGAGTTTGCAATCCCCTTGCCTCAACCTCCCACATAATCCCAAACTGGATTACAAGCATGTATCACCATGCCCTACCAGTGCTGACTTTTGAACAGTCATCGTTTTAGTCAGCTTTTTTGCTGCTGTGCCAAAAGACATGACAAGAACAATTTTAAGGAAAAAAAGTTTTTTGGGGGGTTCACAGTTTCAGAGGTCTACAGACAGCAGACTTCATTTCTTAGGGCCTGAGGTGAGGCAGAACACCATGACAGAAGAGTGTGGTGGAGGAAAGCAGCTCAGGACATGGCATCAGGAAGTAGGGGAGAAATCTGCTCAGCAAGGACAAAATATAAACCCCAAAGGTACACCCCCAGGTACCCACCTTCTGCAGCTACACCCTGCCTACAGTTATTACCAAGATAATCCCTATCATAGGTAATGATTAGGTTAAACCTCTTATAATCCAATAATTTCATTTTTAACCTTTCTTTTTTTAATATTTATTTTTTAGTTATAGGTGGGCACAGTATCTTTATTTTATTATTGTTTTTATTTTTTATGTGGTGCTGAGGATTGAACCCAGTGCCTCACACATGCTAGGTGAGCGCTCTACCACTGAGCCACAGCCCCAGCCCCTCTAACCTTTCTTGTATTGTCTCAAACATGAGCTTTCAGGGAACACCTGATATCGAAACCATAACAGTTATATTCTTCCAGATAATAAGTTTAACCAGAAGACAACTGTCTATTCTTCCTTCCCATTTAAATCATGAGTAAGCTGTAGATTATTAACCCTGAAAATTATTCCCAAATGGATTCCAAACATTGATCTGATCACTGAGAGAAATTAAATAATTAAATCTATCATTTGAACTGTAGGAACAGTTCCTAAATCTTATGACGAGGAGAAAGGAACAACTGTTCTTCCACTTTACCAACTTATGTGATATCATAAGCAAGATTCCTTTATCATTTCTGTTTACTGAATATCTGAGTTCTACCTGAAGAAGGAAGTAGTTTTCTAATATTTATATTTTCCAGCCTTTTCCTTTTTTTTTTTTTTTTTTTCCCCCTTCCAGTCCTGGGGATTGAACCCAAGGCTTCACACATGCTAGGCAAGCACTTCACCACTTGAGCTACATCCCCAGCTCTAATATTTATTGTAAATGACAGAACTAATCCTGTTGTTGGAAAATTTTCAACTGTATTTCACAATTTTTTCTGGATTTCATTTCAGAATGCTTTGAAACCCTAAAAACCAGAAATACTAAGAAACATTAAAATGATGGTCAAAATTCATAAAAAGAGCACAAGATTGCAAGTCACAGTTCTTATCCTCCTATACCACTGACTTAATCTTTGCTTTGAAAAATTAGATCCATCTTCTACACCATTATTCCTTTCCCTTTTCCATAAAGAGGGTTAAATGAAATAAAAATATCAGTAATAATCACCATTGAAATGTCAAAAAGGATACAGAATGGGAGAAGCAACAAGGAAAACTTACCTAGGAAAATCCTGAAGAGATACTGAATCATCAGATTGAATTTCTGAAAGTGAAGTCAGTGCATTACTATAACTGAAGAAGGAAAGAGATCATGTTCACACTTGTGAACTCTCTTGGTCATTAAGAAAGTAGTTTGAGTATTTGCTTTGTTGAATATTTGCTTTGTGGGGCTCCCTATTCTCAAGTTTTTGATATGTTATAAAGGAAGAAAAGCAGAATAGAGAAAAAAGTGGTGAAACTCCCAGTAGACTACCAGCACTGAAAGGTGAAAAGGACAAAGGATGATATTTCAGTGGAATAATTTTAATTTTTTGGAATTTAAACGTTTAAAAAGAGATGGGGAGTATCATATGGAGAAGGAATAATGATTTTAATGGTCTAGGGAAAAGCAATTCATAATTGAGGTTTTGTGTTTCTTTCAGACCATTAAGCACCTAATGGAGGCAGAGAAGGTAAAAGGATTCTGCCAGCTAGTGGTGGCTACCAAGCTGAGAGAAGGCATTTCCCACCTCATCCAATCATGTGGCCTTGGGGGCATGAAGCACAACACAGTGGTGATGGGCTGGCCCAATGGTTGGCGGCAAAGTGAAGATGCTCGTGCTTGGAAGACTTTTATTGGTACAAAACATTTTCCATATTAACCTAAAGGCCCAAATTGGGAATAGAGTTGAATCCCTTTTACACCAACCTTAGCCCCTAACCTTCTAAAGTAAGCATTATGCCATTGCTGAAGCATGGTCTTATGAGGCCACCTAAAAAACTACTAGTGTTAATGACCTGATTTTACCTATCCTCTCCAGCTTTACATTTATATTCATGAGTTGTTTAGTTCTATCAAGTATTGGGCTAGGAATTATCTCCAGAATTGCCATGTTTTCACTTACGATTTTTTGTACTTATATCCTCACATGAATTGGAGGATAGTCCTTCAGCATCAAAATCTCCCAACTTCACTTATGCCTCCTTGAAAGTGTAGTAATAAGAGTATATCTAGGGGCTGGGGTTGTGGCTCAGTGGTAGAATGCTCGCCTGGTACGCGCAAGGCCCTGGGTTCGATTCGCAGCACCATATACAAATAAATAAATAAAAATAAAGGCATTGTGTACATCTAAAAAAAAAAAGAGTATATCTAGTAAAGTAAACCATGATCTTCAATCCAAATCAGCTAGCTATTCAGATTTCTCTCAGTGAGTTTAGTTACTTAATGGAGTATAATCTATACTATACTATATGTATTTGGGCATCTTTTGCTCAAAGAAATGTAATCCTTGGGCTGGGGATGTGGCTTAAGCGGTGGCACGCTTGCTTGGCATGCGTGCGGCCCAGGTTCGATCCTCAGCACCACATACAAACAAAGGTGTTGTGTCTGCTGAAAACTAAAAATTCTCTCTCTCTCTCTCTCTCTCTCAAAAAAAAAAAAAATAAAAATAAAAAAAAGAAATGTAATCCTTATTTTCCTGACCCAGTGGGAAGTAAAGCAAACCTATTTTTTTCTCCCTAGGAACAGTTCGAGTGACAACTGCCGCCCATCTTGCCCTGTTGGTAGCTAAAAACATCTCCTTCTTTCCCAGCAATGTGGAACAGTTTTCTGAGGGCAACATTGATGTGTGGTGGATTGTGCATGATGGGGGGATGCTCATGCTTTTACCATTCCTACTGAAACAGCACAAGGTATTTTAGGCAACTTTAAGTCTTTCTCCCTTCTGTCTTGTTTGACTATACAAATTCTTTCTTGATTATGTAGTGTTGTGGCTTAAAATCAAAAAGTCAGGCATTATTCTTGAGTTTTCCATAACCCAGTTTCAAACTTTACGAGAAATAGTTTTTTTTAAATAATTGATAACAATCTAACTTAAAATGTAAGCCAGAAAATAAAGTTTCCCTTTGGAAAAAACAGTAATGTGTGAACACATATTAAAAAGAAAAGTTTCTAAAGGAAGTATAAGGGGTGTGTGTGTGTGTGTGTGTGTGTGTGTGAGTGAGAGAGAGTGAGAGAGAGAGAGAGAGAGAGAGGTACTCATTCTTTGGTAAGACTAGGTAGATTGAAATTAAATTAGTCTTGTATCATTAATGTACTGTCTGAATAAAGCATCCTCTTAATGTATCACAAGTGAGGATACATTGATATGTTATTTTCCTCAAACATCAAACAAGAAATCATTTCTTCAGTGCACCCATCATAGCTGATTGTCCTCTAATCAGCTTTGACACTGTTTATCAATCAGAGGTGGCATCATATCCCACATAGTGAGGGCTCAGTCCCACAAAATGACCCTCCCATTTCTTCTACCAATTACAGGCCCCAGGTTTGATTTACCTAATGCTTGTGACTGACCTGCTGTAAATGAGGGTTCCTATGACCTCCTCCTTGTTCTAGAGTGGCTTACAGAACTGAGAAACACTTTATTCCATTTACTGGATTATTATAAAGAATATTATAATCAAAGGATGCAGATGAAGAGATGCACAAGGCATATGGGGAGAGGCATGAGTTTTCATGCCCTTTCTGAAGCCATCATGTTCAGCTATCTAGAAGTTCCCTGAACCCAGTTCTTTAGGGATTTCATAGACGCTTTATTACATAGGAATTGTTCATCAAATCATTGGCTATTGGTGATCGATTTAACCTTCTATCCCTCTGTCCTCCTAAGTAGTTGTGGATTTGGGCTGAAAGTTCTAACCCACTAATCTGCCTCAGTCTTTCTGGTGACCTGCCCTGCTTCTGAAGCTATGCAGAGGCTGCTAGCTATGGTCCAGCTCATTGGCATTCAAAAACATACTTAGCACCATGAAGATGCAAAGGATTTTAGGAGTCATATGCTAAGAAATAGTGACATATACACAGATAGTGTATATTTCACAATATCACAAGAGACATCTTTTCTTTCTTTGTCAGTTTTTTCTTATTATGGAATCAAGAACTCCTTAAAACTATATTTAATGTGTTTCTTAGTTAATCTTTTGCCCTAATACAATAACATACCAAGCAAGGAACAAATATCCTCATGCCTATAGCAGGGTTGTTTTAAGTCAAAATGCCTCATGTTTTAGAAAATAACTTTAATTCTGCCTTGCATCTGTTTTCCATATACATATGGCATTCTGTCAGGTGTGGCGAAAATGCAGCATACGGATCTTCACAGTAGCTCAACTAGAAGATAACAGTATCCAGATGAAAAAAGACCTGGCCACCTTCCTGTATCATCTGCGCATTGAAGCAGAGGTGGAAGTGGTGGAGATGGTAAGAAAGCGGAGTTTGAGATAGAGGTGACCACTACTCTCCCAACCCCAACCCTATCTTCCTAGAACCTTTTTTGGTTTGGGAAATTATTCAGCTATAAATGTGAATTAATCCCTTACTTCCAATAAAATTCTAATTTGTTGGCCTAAATAAGTAGAATACATAATGTATGTTTGGTAATACTTTTTGGTTTTGCTTTCCATTTATTATACAGCTCTTATATTTCTGCCAGATTCTTTTCTGCCTAATATATTTTTAATTCATTCTTAAATTCACACACAATGAGACTTATGTGTGAAAAATACAGACCAGAGTTTGTGTTTTGTGTTTCAAGGAAACACATGTAATAGATAGATTACAGAAAATATTCAAAGCCTCTGGATTTGATTTATAACTCCAAACTAATGTGTCTTTGTAGATCAGAGACTAGACAGAATAGAGGTGAAAGGTTGATATTGTGATATATTTTCTGATTTAAGATACTGAATGGAAGTAAAAATGTGTGGTCTATCCTTCTTTCTCCTTTGTGCATTTTGCCCACTTTGTGTGATGTCTGTGGCAGCATGACAGTGATATATCAGCTTATACTTATGAGCGCACGCTGATGATGGAGCAACGGTCCCAGATGCTCCGGCACATGAGGCTATCCAAAACAGAACGGGACAGGGAGGTGAGACTTTGTTGCATGAATTTAAAATCCCATTTTTTTTTTCAAAATAGCTGAAGCATGAGAGAATATTAGGTAGAATAACTTTGTTGGACCTTCCCAGGCACAGTTGGTGAAAGACCGGAATTCAATGCTACGACTGACCAGCATTGGCTCTGATGAGGATGAAGAGACAGAAACCTATCAGGAGAAGGTGCACATGACTTGGACAAAAGACAAGTACATGGCATCCCGGGGACAAAAAGCCAAGTCAATGGAAGGATTCCAAGACCTACTTAACATGCGTCCGTAAGTTTTCTCTCAGAAGCTTATCATGTAAAACAGTATCCTAGTCAGTGACACAGATGTGACTGACTGAACACATAGGATGAATTCTGTTCATTTCACCCACATCCAACCATTTCTCTATTGTTTGCCTATGCATATTAGTTCCCAAATGTACACAATACCATCTTCTTTCTCTTCACATAGTTCATCTCTATACTGTTAGCTTATTAAATGAGAAAACTCGGGATTTACTATCATAAGGAAATTATTTTACTTATCACATTATCCTTAGTTAAGTTAAAAAAGCTTTGGACCTCAAGTTTTTAAAATTCAATTGTAACTATTTTCTTTCTGCTTTAACTGTCTGTTTCTTCCCCACCCAGGGACCAGTCCAATGTAAGACGAATGCATACAGCAGTGAAGCTCAATGAGGTTATAGTTAACAAGTCCCATGAAGCAAAGCTGGTTTTGTTGAATATGCCAGGGCCACCCCGAAACCCTGAGGGTGATGAAAACTGTATCCTTTTTGAAAGTGGAACCACCAGTTGGGAAAATCTTATTAGCTCATTTCTTAGATGAGACATCTAGGAAACCGTAAAAGTTATTGTCTATGCCCCACTTTCCCTCTTTGAGGAACTCAGACTTTTAAAGTCTTAGGCAAGGATTCTTACAAAGTGGTAAGACTGATTAATCTCCTTTTGGGAAGTTGGGGATGCAATATATTCTCTCTGAACCCTAAAGACTTTTTAGTTGATGTCTTATATTAAATGACCATCCTAGAGACAGAATATCCACATTCTTTTTTCTATCCATTTTGCAAAGCCTTTTTCTTTTGGATGGAGTTAGCAGAGAAGCAGCTGAGAATGGAGACTCAAAGTTAAGAAAGAAAAAAGGGATTTTCCCTAATACTTTCATCCCAGAATTGTTTTAATTGGAAACTTTCAGCATTGCAACAACACAGACTAGCCCATTCCTGCCATTACAGAAAAGAGGTTTAAAAATGGAAAAAAAAAAAAAAAAAAGAGAGAGGAGGGGCGCTGGGGTTGTGGCTCAGCAGTAGAGCGCTCGCCTCACACATGGGTTCAATCCTCAGCACCACATAAAAATAAACGAAATAAAGGTATTGTGTCCAACTACAAGTAAAAAAAAAAAAAAAAAATGAAAAAAGAAGTGGCAGGAAAATCTGACTTGAATGGCTTCACTTAGAAATTATTGGGTGCTCTCTGGATTGTTGAGGTAGTTGGGTTTTTTTTTTTTTTTTTTTTTTTTGCATTTTTATCATTTAGAATAACATTACTATGGACTCCCTCATTTCTTAATAACATTAGAAAATATCTAATAAATAGAAGAATCTTATATATGCAAAGGTATTATATCCCTGGATTACTTCACAGGGTTAATGAATCAAAAATTCAGACTTGGGGCTGGGATTTGTGGCTCAGTGGTAGAGCACTCGCCTACATGGGCGGGACCCGGGTTCTATCCTCAGCACCACATAAAAATAAAGGCATTACGTTGTGTCCATTTACACCTAAAAAATAAATTAAAAAAAATTTTTTTAAAAAGTTCAGACTTAGCTGAGCACAGTGGCACACACCTGTAATCTCAGCAGCTCGGGAGGCTGAGGCAGGAGGATTGCAAGTTCAAAGCCAGCCTCAGCAAAAGAGAGGTGCTAAGCAACTCGGTGAGACTCTTGTCTCTAAACAAAATATAAAATAGGGCTGGGATGTGGCTCAGTGGTCAAGTGCCCCTGAGTTCAACCCCTGGTACCAAAACAAAACAAAACAAAAAAACAATGTTCAGACTTCTCCAAGTCTGACTATATAATTAAGAAGCATGCTGTTATCAGATAATACCAGATAAGAGATGCCAGGTTGTAAAGTGAACTTTTCTGCCTGTTTGTCTCCTTGACAAATTCTGAAGACATGGAGTTTCTAGAAGTACTCACCGAGGGACTAGAACGAGTCCTCCTTGTCCGGGGTGGTGGCAGTGAAGTGATCACCATTTACTCATAATCTGCTCCGGAATGACTCTGCTTGGTCTTTCATTTTCTAAAAGGCTTCCATCCTCCATGGAAAAGTGATGGTTCTTATTACCACACTCACTCAACTAGAGTCCTGTGTTCTGTACACGTAACACTGAACTTTTGATGAGCTGAGCCTCCAGTACTTGTTCAAGAATACTTATAGATCTGTTCTTGGCTCCCTTATAATGACAGAAGCAGCAAATACTCCTTCAATATCAGAAGAATGATCAAGTCCCAAAACCATTCAGTACCAAGAGAAGGCAAGTTAGGATTAACAAAGCCAATAAATGGGAACCTTTTAGCACTGTTGAAGACAGCAGCATGATAAAAGGAATGCTAGAAATTCAACTAAAGACAAAAAGCAAGTTCACAGCCAACATTAAAGATGAGTCTCAGAAGTCATGGTTCAATGATAACACCACAGGGGTAACTGCCAGAGACAGCCTTACCTTACTAAAGAATTTGTGGCTAGGTGTATGGGAGCCTATTATCCTTGTGAAAATAACCAGTGGCAAGCCAAGATGTAAACCTTTTATAGCTAATTATTTCTTTAGTGTACCTTCTGTTCTCTAGGACTCTGTTAGGGTACATAATCTACAAAACACGAAACATGGCAGCAGCCTCTCCTTCTCCCTCAAAAACAAGATTGCCCCAGAATGTCAGGTTTAAGTATCTACACTGTGTCCATGTATATTTCAGCTGTTTGTTTCTCTTAGCTCAAAACAAATTCTGTGGTTGTAACACAGGCACTGTTACCACACACACACACAAAAAAAAAAAAAAAAATTAGGAAAGGATTGGTCTCTTTCAGGTTCTTTAAATGGCTAAACTAAGGAAATTCCAAGGAGTAGCTATTAAAATTTACCCAAGTAGTCTCTGGTTATCTATGCGACAAGGGCAAAATATACAAGCTGTTATGTAGAAACAGGTCATGATGCACATTGGCCACTAGGTTCTCCTTTCCTTCTTTTTATGCCTCAAGTTACTAGGCCTGGATCAAGAACCCTTGAGGAACAAATACTAGGAAGACTGGCTAATATCATTCTCTGAAAGCTCTGGACTGTCTTTAAAAGGGGGAATTCAGCAATGGAACTGGAAGTTCTAGAGCCATACCGCTTCCATAGTGCCAAAGTTATCAAGCTGCTACTCTCCTTACCTACTTAAAAATGCATACAAATTGACAATGGCCTGATTCAAGAAAATTTGTTTTCACTAAGTAATCTATGGCCTCATCCCTAAGGTTATAGTTAAGACTTGAGGCACTCAACTAAATGGCCCAAATACGAGCATTTCCCCCCTTTTCCTTTTATTCTTCATTCTGACTGAAGAAATTTGGCTCTGAAGTATTATCCAAGCCACCAGTCTTCTTTTTTTTTTTTTCCAGAAAGTTCTAAATGTGCCAAGGAAATACTTTTACAAACTCATCTTTTTATTTACTAATTTACTTATCACAAAACACCTGGCTTATCAGCATAGGGAAACTATGTGTGTGGCTAAGCAGTAATTTCAAATATGTGAAATTTTCATTTCTTGTACAAGATGGGTATTTAAGAAACTGTCTTCTTGCCTGTATTCACAGCTGCTTTTAATTTCACTTTATTAATGATAAATAGTGCCACTCTTTTTTGATTACCCAGTGAGATTTGGAATAAGCTCTCAGTCACAAATAATTCTTTTGACACACAGGGACAAAGAAGAAAATCGTTCAGTATGGCTTAAGAAATTAAGTCATTTCCTTTTGCTCTTCTTTCAAACTTCAGACCCATTTGTGGGTAGCAAAGCAGACAGTATGTCTTTTTTTCTGCTCCTTCCTGCGGGGAATAGAAATTTTGTTTACAACTCCCATTGCAACACTCCACTGCTTAGTTGAATATAGTAGTAATGGGTCAGGTCCCCTAGGACCTAAGATCTTCAAGACTCCAATACTGTAAAGGTCATCCTGCCCAGGAATTTCCCAAAATTTACACATACTCCTGGCCAAAGTTATATACATATTTTTCCTATACAGAATAAATATGGGCAGAAAATAAGGTAATTTTAGAAGTGCTATTTGTGGTTGGAACTCTGTAAGAATCTTTTAAAGGGAGGAGGGAATTAGTGACTTATTAACAATGCCACTACCTTAATCCCTAAAATACGAAATCACTGTTACATGGAAAAATGGTTATTAGGCCAGATTTATATTCATCTGTCTAGAGCATTTCACGTCTATGTGTTGCTTATGTTGTCTGTCTACAAAATGTCTTGTCTGGTTTAATCACTGCAAATAAAGCAATACTGAAAACTTGATGAGAGAATGCACCTTAGGGGAAGGGGCTTTTGTTTCAAGAGGGAAGACAAAGACCTCCTGCTTTGGGGGCAAGATCCAGCTTTTAAGTCTTACCAGGGCAGGATAATATATAATTTCTCCTACTGCTGGCTCTCTGCCTTCCGTAGCTATCTTAAAAGCTGAAGTTTGAACTGCAGTGTCTGTTTGACAGGTTCCTTGTGGCAGGAGAAAGATCACTGCTCTTTATCTTCCATTGACTCTGATCTTTGTGGCCCCAGGGATCCCACCAATCCTCATTCCCCCTAAACATGATAAAAATTCTTTATTGTGTGTATTAAAATAACAATTACACTGTAAGCATATTTGTGTCCTTTTTTCTGGTTTATTTTTCTTTTCATCATGTATAATTTGAATCCAGCATTAGTTCCATCCATGAGTGTCTCCAACAGAATTTTTATGTCCCAACTTGTGTTAAATAGAAGTGAACTATTAAGGAAAATAGATTTATTAAAGGAAATTTGTGAAACTTTTAAGTATTGTTTTCAACCATTTAATTTATTAAAAGGAGATGCTGCTACGGCTTTTGATTTAGCAGCAACCACTCTTTTGTTTACATAGAGTTCTGGTTTTATTTGTTTTGCTCTGTACTGCAAACATAAATAAAGTTTTCTACATTATTTTCAGTCAGGGGTTGTGGTATAGTTTCTTTGTGTTTGTAGTAATATACACATTGTCCTTCTATGATTTGTCTCCTGACCATGGAGAAGAGAGCTTTTTGGTTCTTTTCAATATGAGTGAGTATACTTTAAAAAAAAAAAAAAAAGGTATACTTAGGGAGCCAGTGGGCTTAAAGAAGGATGTAAATGAGGCCAAATATATAGGCACCTGGTGCTTCCTTCTCAGGTTCACAAAAGTAATCCTCCACCACTGAACTCCATTCTCTGGAAGAAGAAACAGTAAACAGGTGAGTGGTGAATAAGTGTTGAAATAACTTTCTGAATCAGTATTTTAATCACAAGTTCTATTATATCTATCATTTAAAAAAATCTTCCAAACACCTAATAGCTTTTCTTAAGAAATAAATTCTAATACCAACTCTTAATTCTCTACCATCATATGAGTCAGCTATTCACTGTACAAATGCCTCAAATTTGACTTTTCTTTTACCTTACCTCAGGGGGCTCAATGAAGGCTAACCAGTCTGATGCATGTGTAGGCAGTAGTCCCATAGACTGACACTTGTAGACAGCCAATGCCAAACCCATTAGGTTCCCAATGAGATAGACCAAACCCTGAAGAAACTTCTGGCTTGAACTCTCTAGCATCTTGAAAGCTGTTGGGGGTAACAGAAGTTGTCAAAACCAAAACAACCTTCCTTTTTCAATATGAATCAAATCAATCATATATATTAATATTTAGATAAGCCCAAAATAAGATAGCAAATAGGATCACTAAAGGTGAACAGAATATTGTGAGCAGCATTGTTTTCCCCTCCATTTCACCACGACTATCATCACCTGCCTGCATACCTTTTGGTAAAAAAAAAAAAAATTATGCCTAAGACTTTAAATTCTTAAAACATAGGGAAGGGTTTATTATTTCAAAAATACTTACTGGCTGAAATGGCCATAAGTGCTTGAATGGGTCGCCAGGCCATCATACACACCATCATAGTAGGGAAGATGGATATAGTATTTCCTGCCATGTACATGATGAAGAGGTTCATAGGAATCTGCTTGAGGGGACCCAAGGCGATGTCCCAGCAGCGCTAAAACAAGCACAGTTATAACCTTTCATAATTACCCTCAATCCCACATTTACTGCATCAGTGATGCTAAAGTCAAATGAACAGAATTCCCAATTCCCTGCTTCTAAGCTGACTCAATTCCACCACCTCTTCCTTTCTCCATATTGCCACAGGAAGCTCCTTTCCATTAAAGGTATAAGATAGCCTCACCATCTGTTAGTTTTCCCCATAAGATTTCCAGTCATCTTTTTCTTGTGATTTTGGCTAAAGAAAAGATTTTCCTGCTTTTGTCCTTGAACTTTTGCATATATCACTGTCCCTTTTACAACTAAAGAAATAGAAAACTCCACATGCTGGGAGATTAGCACACCTTAACAACAGAACAGGCAGGGGCTGGGGTTATAGCTCAGTGGTAGAACACTTGCCTAGCCTGTGTGAGACATTGGGTTTGATCCTCAGCACCACATAAAAATAAATAAAACAAAGGTATTATGAAAAAATTGTTTTGAAAAGATAACAGGCAAGTCAAGACACAGACGATTTGAATGACATAAACGAACTTTCACATATAACACTGTACCCAACAATTACGGAATTCATATTCTTTTCAAACATCAGATAGTTAGAAAAACTGGCCACTTGCTGAGCCATGTATGAAAAATCTCAATGTCACAGAACTCAAAATATATAGTGTTCTTTGACTATAATGCAACTAAGCTAGAAATCAAAAGGTAACTAGAAAATTCCTTATATTTAGAAATTAACAAATGTATACTAATCCATGAATGCTATCAAAATGGAAAATAGAAATGTTAATTGGAAACAAAAATGCTGCATTAAAACTTGTATACAGTTAGAGCTGTAATATATTTATAATCTTAAGTACATATCAGAAGACTTAGTGAGGCTCTGTCTCAAAAAGGGCTGGGAATGTACCTCAGTGGAAAAGCACCCTGGGTTCAATCCCCAGTACAAAAAAAAAAGATAGAAAAAGAACAAACTAGCTAGCTGGGCATGGTAGCATACGCCTATAATCCCAGTGACTTGGGAGGCTGAATCAAGATGATCACAGTTTCAAAGCCAGCCTCAGCAACTTAGGCTCTAAGCAACCTACTGACACCCTGTCTCAAAATTTAAAAAAGGGGAGGGGAGGCTAGGGATGTGGCTCAGTGATTAAGCAGGTTCAATCCCTGGTACCAAGAAAGAACAACAAAGAAACTTAGGAAAAAAACAGACTTTTTTTGGTACTGGGGGACTGAACCCAGGGGCACTTTACCACTGATCGCCATCCCCAGACCTTTTAATTATTTTGAGAAAGGGTCTCATTAAATTGCTAGCCTCAAAACTGAAGCTCCTGCCCCAACCTCCCAAGTTGCTGGGATTACATGCATGCACGGCTGCCCTTGGCTAAAGTTAGAGAGAAAAAAAAAAAATTCCTATCATGTATTCATACACTTTAATGTACCAAGATGAAAAATTACAGGATAATGGGCTAGGGATGTGACTTGGTGGTAGTGTTTGCTTAGCATGCACAAGGCTCTGAGTTTGATCCCCAATACTGTGCAAAAATAAATAAATAATGCATATTGAGAAAAGATTGATAATAGCTCTGTCATTTTCATGTTGTGAAGATCACATGCATTTCATGAATGCATGAACAAAGACTGTGTAATGCAGAGCAACATTAAGGCCAAGAAAGAAGTAAGAAAAGGAAAGAAAGTGCTATGTACTACTCTAGGCACTTAGGATATATCCAACAAAATCCTGTTCTCATGGAGCTTACAAGAGTGATAAGGCCAATGGGCAATAAAAAAAAAATATTATGATATATTCATAGCATATGTTAATTATATGGAGAAATAGGAAAACAAGATAGGGAGTACCATAAGGGTAGGCTTCATTAAGACCAAAACATTTGAGAGATGTAAAGGTGATAGGCAAGAAGATCTGGAAGAAGAGCATCCGAAAAATAGGGAAGAGCAAATACAAAAAACCTGACATGGGCACTTGTCTTGCTGTCTTTAGAGAGCAGCAGGGAAGCCATTATGACTAAAGTGAAATCAATAATCAATAAAGGGTAGAAGATGAGGTCAGAGATGTTCCAGGGGTTTGACCAATGCAGAGTTATATAGAACATTATAAAGACTGGGCTTTTATGTTGAAAAAATGGGGACCTATAGGAGGATTCAGAATAGGAATGATCTGACTTATATTTTAAAATGATGTTGACTGTTGTGATGAGAATAAACTACAGAGGGCTAGGTATAAGTAACAAGACCAGTTAGAATTCTACTGCAAAAAGGAATACAAGACATTTTTTTGGAGATGAAAAATATGTTCTCTTTTAAGATGGTGATTTCATGGTGGTACACCACTATTAAAGCTCATCAAATATTACCCTTTAGAGGTTCCCAGCTGAGGGCAATTTGTCTCCTGGGAGACATTTAGAATGCTGGAAATGTGTAATTGTTACAACTAGGGAAGGGCACTACTGCCATCTAATAGGTAGAGCAGGGATACTGAACATCTTACAGTGCACAGTACAGTTCCCCCACAACAAGAAGTATTAACCACCACTTGTCAACAATGCTGAGGTTGATAAACCATGCTTTAGTTGAATGCAGTTTACTGTACATAAACTACAATTTGGAAGAATTTATATGTACATATATATTTTATCATATATCTTTGATTTTTTTTTTAGTCTCTTGCAAAAATCTGGATGAGAGGGCTGGGGTTGTGACTCAGTGGTACAGTGCTTGCCTAGCATGTGTGAGGCACTGGGTTTGATCCTCAGCACCACATAAAAATAAATAAATAAAGGTTTAAAAAATAAATCTTAAAAAAAAATCTAAATGAGAGATAGTGGCTAGGACCAGGATGATAAAGACAAGAAGTAGTAGGCCTGTCTTGGTGGTGAAAGCCTGTTAATCATAGTAACTAGAAAGGTTAAGTCAGGAGGATGGTAAATTCAAGGCCAGCCTCAGCAACTTAAGTTGGCCGTTTCTCAAAAAAAAATTTTTTTTTTAAAAAACAACATACAGGGATACAGCCACATAATGTTTATTCACAATATACAATTCACAATAGCTAAACTGTGGAACCAACCTATATGCCCTTCAGTAGATGAATGGATGAAGAAAATGTGGTATATATACACAATGGAATATTACTCAGTAATAAAAGAGAATAAAATCATGGCATTGGATATGGAGAAATAGGAAAAATAAAATAGCAATAAGAGAGAATAAAATCATGGTAAATGGATGGAGTTGGAGAATATAATGCTAAGTGAAGTTAGCCAATCCCTAAAAGCCAAATGCTGAATGTTCTCTAATATAAGGAGGCTGATTCATAGTGGGATTGGGAAGGGGAGCAGGGAAGATTAGAGGAACTCTAGATAGGGCAAAGGGAAGGGAGGGGCAAGAGGGTAAAAAAGATGGTGGAATGAGATGGACATCGTTAACCTAAGTACATGTATGAAGACACGATAACAAATTAGAATAAAAAACAAAAGGGGGGGTGCTGGAGATGTGGCTCACTGGTTAAGCGCCCCTGGATTCAATTCCTTAAAAAAATAGTAATAGGATTTGGGATCTGTTTTGAAGGTAACATCTTGACAGTATGGATGCGTGGTGTCAGGGAACTAGCATAAAAAACGACGACTTAAGCTGGAAAGCCTTGCCACCAGCAGATCATTTTGCAATTATTTCCTAATACCTTGCCTTAATGAATGTCTTTTACTTTTCCAACTGTTAAGCACTATTGGAGCTGTTATGTAAACTACTGTAATACTTACTGCATGCGGTGTAGCTCCCATTCATTATAAATGGGTTCTACAGTAATGCTACTTGGGAGAGGCGGGTAGGTCCTGACTGGCTCCAGGACTAGGGTAACATCTATACCTCTGTACCTTCTCCACCAGGATCCGGTCTGTCTC